AACTGAAAACCCTAGTAAGCAATCAAAAGCAAAGCAAGTCATGTGCTGCTTCGTTACTGTAATTTTGCTAGTTATGAATTGTAACGTGAATCTCTGATATGCAGGATATCTGATATGTGACCCACGTGGGGGTCGTGATTCACAGGCAGGATGTCTGATATGTGACCATTGCACTAGATCAAATGGCCATGACAGCTGAAAAGACATCACTAAATGGCAGCGGAATATACCTCTTCAACCACACATTGGCCACTCTGTGTCACTGCTAGTATTTATCTCTAGGTGGCACTCTGGCTCCAGATTTGCTACAAGTTAGTTGACACTATGCAGGTGTTTCAGAATTAAATAGGGACCAAAGCCCAAGGTAGTCAGATTTACAGTTAGTATGTTCTTCACCATGAACCAGGAGATTACCTCAAAGCATTTATGTCCCTACCATCTTCTCTCTGAAGCCAGGGTAGACCCCAATGACTCTTCTATGTCACTAGCCTGAGATCAGGTACCATGAGATTTGTTCAACATGTGGATCAATTTGGATGAACTAACTAGAGACTCCTGTGTCACTACACTGTATGTGGAGTATAAAGATCCAGGCAAGGCAAATTCCAATTCCTTGGGGCAGGAGAAATTTTCAGGTTTTAAATTATGAACTTTGATCCATTTATAGTTGATTTTTGCGCAGGTTAAGAGATACAGATCTGCATTGGAGTATCTAAAACAAATGATGATGGCCAAGTTGGATAGCTGGATGTGGAAGGATGAAACTGGCTCCCCATCTCTCACTTGTCACAAAACTCAACTCCAATAGATGCAGGTCATTGGCATAACATCTGATACCCCGAATCAGATGAGGGAGAAAACATGGCATATTCTTCAACTTAAAGGCACAGAAAAGTAATTCATGAGTAGGACTCTGGTAGCCTAGTTAGTAAAACCAAAAATTGACAAGTGGGATCCCAGGAAAATAAAAGGCTAATGTACAACAAACAACACCAGCATTTAAATGAAAGGGTAGCCTGCAAAATAAGAAACCTCTTTACCAGGTATCTGACAGAACATTAATATGCAAAATATATAAGGAACAAAAGCAAAATAAAAACAAAATTCAAGGAAACAACTCAAATAAAGGGGCATGGATCTAGAGAGTGAATTCTCAAAAGATGAAATACAAATGGCTGAGGAACATTTTTGTAGACGGTCAACATTTTATCCACTACATGTATGCAGATTAAAACGACTTTGAGATTTCATTTTACCCCAGTCATAATGGTCAAGATCAAAACACAAATGACAACAATGAGGTCATCTAGTTCTGGGCTTTTCTGCAAAGGGAGATTTTTTTTTTGGTTTTACGAGACAGGGTTTCTCTGTTTTGGAGGCTGTCGGTCCAGCCTGGCCTCGAACTCACAGACATCCTCCTGCCTCTGCCTCCCGAGTGCTGGGATTAAAGGCGTGCGTCACCAACGCCTGGTGCAAGGGGAGATTTTTGATTATCTACAAGTCTTGTCAGTCTTGTTATTACTATTTTTACTTTGGAGATTATAATATAATTACAACATTTCTCCCTTCCCTCTTCCAAGCGCTGCCATATAGCTGTCCCTGCACCTCTTCAAATTCATGGCCTGTTTTTTCATTAATATTATTTTGTGTACGTGTGTATATATGTATATTCTTAAATATAACCTGTTCTGTTCACATAATGCTTCTTGCACATGTATTTTCAATTTTATCAACTTTTTAAAGAACGACTCTTGACTGATTTCTAGGTATTGTTTTTTTAGTCTCATTAATTTCTGCTTTATATTTTATTTTTTGGTACTATATTTGGGTTTGACTTTCTGTTTTTCTAGAATCTTGAAGCCCATTATTAGATTATTTTATTCGATTTATTTGAGACCTCTCCGATTTCCTCTTAGGAATGACTTGCCTGTATCCCAGAGATGCTGTCAGACAGTGCTATCATTTGCATTCATTCTAGAATTTTTTTCTGGAATCCTTACTTCCTCAGTGACCATTCTTCATTTAAATGTATTATTCAGTCTACTAATATCTGTGTTGTTTCTGAGGCTACTTTTGCTATTGAATTCTAGTTTTAATTTTCTGTGATATAAGACACAGGAATTATTTAATATTTTTGTGTTCTTTTTTCCTTTTTGTTTTTTTCAAGACAGAATTTCTCTGTGTAACAGAACTAGATGTCCTGGAGGTAACTCTGTAGACCAGTCTGGCCTTGAGCTCACTGAGATCCATCTGCTTCTGCCTTCTCAGTGCTGGGATTAAAGGCTTAGGTCACCACCACCACATTTTTGTATTTTTAAAGCTGGTTTTGCAGCATGTAATATGATTAATTTTGGAGAAAGGGTGTATGTGCTGCTGGGAAGAATGTTTTATTTGTCTGTTGGTTGGATTATTCTTTAGATTCCTGTTTGATACAGTTGATCTATGATATTGTTTATCTCTGAAATTTCTTGACATTTATTTTTAATTTGGAAGATACATCTAAAGATTAGTAAGGATATTTAAGTCTCAGGACTTAAATGGCACTTTATGCCCTTTAGATTTTATTTTATGGAATCAAGGGCCTCAAGATTTGGGCATAAATATTTGCAACAGTTAAATTTCCATTTTGATAAATTGTTCTATTTATTAATATGTAATGCTCATATTTATTTATTCTGACGAATTTTGGTTTGAAATATATTTATTTATTTATTTTAATTTTATTTTTATTTTAATTTAAATTAGAAACAAGGTTGCTTCACATGTCAATTCCAGGTCCCTCTCCGTTTCCCTCCCCTCCTCCTGTGCCTTCCCACCAACCCTCCCAATATTCCCTCATTTCCTCAGGAAGGGTGAGGCCCTCCATGGGGGTGTCCATAATCTGTCATTTCATCTAGGGCAGGGCCTAGACCCTCCCCCAAGAGTTCAGGGTAAGAGTGCATCTCTCATTGTTGGATGGGAGTCCAAAGTCCATTTGTATACCTGGGATAAATACTGATCTACTGCCCAAGGCTCAATAGATTACCTAGGCCTCCTCACTGACACCCACATTCAGGGGGTCTTGATCATATTTTATGAGACATGAGAGTTGCTATGCCATCTTTGTATTTATGTAGGTTTCTTGGAGACAATGGATAGTTAGATCTTATTTCTGTTTCATATTGGTTAGTTTGAGTCTTCACTTTGCCATTATGATTATTGTTAGGAGGAACTTGCTATCTCCTGTGTTTCTGTTGGCTGTACTTCTGGCAGATGAGATTATTGTTCATTCTTTTCTTCACCTGCGTCAGTATTAGGAGATTTACAGCTTTCTGTGTAGATTGTCTTCTCTGTTCTGTCATGAAGTATGTACTTTTCTGCATTCTCGTGGATAACTCTTTGCTCTTCTCTCATATTAAGAATTTTTTTCAATGCTGGCTATTCTTTCTCAAACCATCTTATCTTGTGATTGTGTTTGAAATGTTTCACTTTCAAATTTGAGATAAAAATTCTGAGGATAGCAATCTTGGTTGACAGTTATTTACTTCAACTATCTCGTTCTCTGCTTTCCTGACTTTTAGGTTTGATGACAAAAGACCCGAAATCATTCTGATATTTCTGCCTTTCTGTGTGAGCTGCTAATAAACAGCTCTCATCGTTGTTTTTTGACATCCTGACTAGGATATGTTAGGAAGAAATTTTTCTCTAATAATGTCTATTTGGGGTTCTTAATGCCTCTTCCATTTTGATGAACACTTCTTTCTCTAGTTTTGAGAATTTTTTTCCTATAATCTGAATGAATAAATTGTCTGAGCCCTGAGATGTCATCTTAGCTCTTTCCTGTGGATTCTTTTTCATTTTATTTTGCATTTCAACCACAGTTCTCCCTCCTACCCATTCTCCTAAACTCCCTCGCCTCCTCCTACCCCCCCTTATCTTCTCCTAGCCCACTCCTGTCCACTCCTCATGGGCAAGGGCTCCCATGAGGAGTCAGCATAGTCTGGCACAATAGGTTGGGGAAAATAGGCTGATAGAGAATAGGCAAGAGCAGCTTGTAGTCTATTAAAATGTTTCAAATGAATAGGGTCCCATCCCCTTAGGGGTTCTTGATATGTATGGGGAGGATTTAATCCTGTTAATATTGCTCAGGAGAGAAGATTCCTAGAGAGTTGAGCATTGGGGCTGAGTGGGGCTGTAAAGTCTTCTGAATTCTGCCCAGCTGGTTGAGTTTGAATGCCCATGGATACTTCAATGGGGATGTCTCTGACATACCCTCATGCCTGCAGTAAAAATAACTTTATATAACTTGAGACACCCTGTCAACACAAAATGACTAAACAGCCAAAGGCAAGTAAGTGAGGTAGGGAAGGACAGTTACAGGCCTTGGGGCAGGAGTGCCTAGACTTTGGATGTGAATATTGACAGTAAAGGCTGCAGAAGTGTCCTGGAGGTAGGGTACAGCAAGACGGTAATAGCTGTGGGGGCTTTTGACTAGTCTTTGTCTATCCTACACCTACTGTTCAGTCTTTACTTGCTTTAATGACATGGCCATTTTCTCTTCTGAGACTCATGCGGAGACTGTCTCCTCTCCCTACTTTGTGCAGTGTTCTGTTGTTTTACTAAAGTCTTCTCAAGACATGTCATAAGATTCTCAGAAAGCACAAGGAAAATCTTTAGTTCAAAATCCAGGAAGGAGAATCTGGCAGTATTTACCAAAACCCAGGCAGAGCCTCCAAACATACTAGGCATATTTCCAGATCCTCTCCCCTCATGAGGAGTTGGACTGAGGTGAAGCATAGAGCTATGCTCTGCTGTGGGCTAAGAATAGAGGCTGTTTGACTAGTGCAAGAAGCTATTTGGTTAAGATAGATAAATCACTCCCACCAACTAGAATAAAAGTCTCCATTCAGGACTGTTGTGCACTGAGTTTGTGTGTGTGTGTGTGTGTGTGTGTGTGTGTGTGTGTGTGTGTGTGGAATATGATGAGAGACAGAAAAGAAAAAGATAAAGTAAGTACAGGATCACAGGGTTTTCAGGATTTATTACATACTATTGTGCATATTCACAGATTCAGTCACAATGCTAGGAATGAAGTCAAAGTTGCTATACTAATAACAGCTCCCCATTCCCACCCCAGGAAGATGCTTTGATGAATAAGGTAGGGGTTGAGCTTCTTGGGGTGGATGCTGGGCCATAAACGTCCTGTTTCCCAGCCTGTCATAGGCATGAAGAAGGTCAAAACCATACGGATTCGTGGATGAGTGGATCAGCCAGGGACCTGAAGGAAGTGTGGTGGATGGCTCTCTTCCCTTGTATGGGATAGGTGAAGAGTCTCTGGGACATCATGGTGATTGCTTTAGCCTTGGTGTCACTGTACTTCCTGGTTCTGCCTCTGTTTCTCCGTGGGGAGCAAGCTGTCTCCTTTCACAGGTTGGGTTGGCTGAGTCTCTTGGACTCAGCGCTTGGTACGACTTGCTCTATCTGCTTCCCGCACTGTGTCAGGGGCTCTGGTGCTTGTTTCAGTTGCTCATCTTTCTTCACTGGGCCTTGATCCAGTCGCAGCTCCAAGAGCTCCTTCTCCTGTTGTACGTGTAAGTCGTCCAGATGCTGCTCCCTTGGGGCTTTCCCTTGCTTAAGTGACTGACCTGGGCTTTGTGTTCCTTGATGCCCTTCATGCTCTGTCTCTTGCTGCTTCCCCTGGTGCAGCTCTGGATCCTGCAGCTTCTGTTTCTGCTTCTGGTTGTGTTCCAGGTGCAGTTCAGGCTCCTGTGATTCCTGACCCTGCTCCTTTCCAAGGTGTAGTTCAGGCTCCTGTGACTCCTCTTGCTGTTGCTTTCCCGGGTGCACTTCTGGCTCCTGTGACTCCCGATCCTGCTGCTTTCCCAGGTGCAGTTCTGGTTCACAGTGATTTTGCTTCTGATGCTGTCTCAGATGTGACTCCTGGTGGTGATCCAGCGGCAGCTCTTCCTGGTGTCTTGACTCCTGTCCCAGCTGCAGCTCCTGCTTCTGTGACTCCTGGTGTCTCTGCTCCTGGTATAGCTCCTGCTTCTGCGGTTCCCGCTGCTTCTCTCCTGGAATCAGTCCCTGCTCCTCAGGAGTGTTCTGCTGCTGACCCACACACAGTTCTAGATCCTGCTGCTTCTCCTTTAGGCTCGGCCTTAGACTTAGCTCCTGTGGTCCCGATGTGTCCTCCTGCTGCTGCTGCTGCTGTCCCAGGCACAAACCCTCTCCCTGTGGCTCTTGAAGCTGGTGCTGTCCCAAGTGCAGCTCTTGTGGTTCTTGCTGATGTTGGCCCAGGTGCAGCCCCTGTGGCTCCTGTGGTGGCCTCTGCTTCTTCAGATGCAGTCCCTGCTCCTGCAGATCCTGCTGTGGCTTTTTCACAGACAGCTGGGGCTCGTGTGGTCCCTGCTGCTGCTGCTGATCACACTCTTGCCCAGGCAGCCCCTTCACAGCTGTTGTGCCCTTCTCCTCTTGTGTGGAGCCCTTCTCTTGCATCTCAGAGGATACTTTCTGGCATTGTGCAGGTTGAGAAGTTGGCTGCTTCGTTTGTTCCTCATGGGCATGGGCTGGAGGACACACAGTCTTGAGGGATTCCTGAACTTCAGCTTGGGCAGTCACTGGCAATGGGTGTTGCTGGGACATCTCCGAAGCTTGTATAGACCACGCTAAACAACAATAACAACAAAACCCAAGAAATATCAGAGGTTGGACTGAAAGCAATGGAAATAGATGAACCACTGAATATACAGGATATACATAGTGGCCCTGTTTAGTGGCATCCTTACTCCTGGCATTTTCCAACTTCTGTAAACTGTGATTCCAGGAAGCAGAAGAGAGTGAAGGGTGGGAATGGTGAGGGCACAGAAAAGCTCTCCTATGAGCTCAACAGAGGGGCCTTTCTCCAAAGAGTTTCTGCAAGAATGGGCTGGCTGTTAATTAACTTGCTTTTGTCCAGTCTTTCCCTGAGTCCTGGGAAGATGAATTCTGGGATTATGTCACATTGTGAAGGAAACCTTTGAAAAAGAAAGTTCTCACAGAGGACCCAGAAGTCTGGAAAGCTGATCATCTATGCTAGAGGTGTGCTGGGAGGCCATTGCAGCATCCTTGAACTGGAGATATTTAGCATATCCCAGGCCTGACTCCTACCAAAACACTGTGGATTTCTGGTCAACTCACTTAGTCTCTCTGGGATTCAGATTTTTTTCTCTGGCCTGTTCTGTCTGAGAGCTCCTTTCCTCTTTGATCTTCTGAAAGCAAGCTGTAGCCCTAGGACCAGGAGTGAGAGTGAGGGGCAGCTGGAGTTAGTGAGAACTGGAGCTTGTTATGACAACTCCTGTACTTCTATTAGGATTTCCAGGTCCCTGTACTGCCCGTGTTTCTCCACACAGAAAGTACTATTGAATGTTTCCCTCTGCACACTAATCCGCCCCTTGAAGGATAAGCAGTCTAGCCAAATCTAGCACCATAACAATATCTGCCCCCGGCTGGAGTAGACATCCGTAACTATGTTCGGACCTGTTGGAAGCCCACAACCACAACTAAGGTCCCAACAGCTAACACTCTGTCTAACACTCACCAGGCTCAGAGAGAGGAGGAGGCAGAGACTTCCAGTGCAGTGCCAAGCCGAGCAGGCATCAGGTCCCTTATATTCCCGCCTAGCCGCCTTCTCAGGCTGGAGGTGGTGGACTGGTTTCACCACTTCAGTTGGTCAGCTTCCTCTGGCTCCTTCCTGACTCACCTGCTATCTTAGGCAGCAACCTCCCCCTAGGGCTCCCTTTTCCAATTCCTGTCTGACCGTGGGAGTGTGAGGGCTCAGTCACTTATGGTTGAGATCATCTGATCTGGGCATGGAAGAGGAGAAGGGGGTGAGAAAGGTTTCATACTTTACAGTCTCAATCAAACTTACCTTTCAGTTTCAATAGGTTTGACCTGATTTTCAGGTTGGAAGATCTATTTCCAAGGGCATAGAATGAGAAGCTTTGTGTTTTGGGGATAGCCAGGCCAAGATACCTGGTAGTAGTGTAATGGATCACTTCTGAAGGAAGGGACGTGTGGTGGGCCCATCAGTACTCAGCATCTGTGCTCAGCACATTACATAATTCCCTTCTGTGAGGACATACACCATGTCTTGGGGGAAGGTCATGGAGACAGAAATAGGCACTTACATTGCTTCTCCCTCTGTGTGCCAGGGACTTCCCAGCTCCCACATCACACCCAAAGTTGTATTTATAGAAGTGCCCAAGGATGCCATAGTCCTAGAAGCTACTGCTTCACTCCAGACAAGGGAACGGGAATCAGTAGAAATCGAATATGGTGCATGCATTGCATTTCATGATGGTAATCAATGCTTTCTATAATTTTCAGGAGTGTGCACCCTACAAGCTCACAACCAAATTGCCCATTGCCATCTCAGATCATTTTCTTTTTTGTGCTTGTGGGGGCTATAGTGGTTTCTGGACAAGATTTCTCTGTGTAGCCTTGCTTGTCCTGGAACTCACTCTGTAGACCAGGTCAGTCTTGAACTCAGAGATTCACCTCTGACAGGTATGCTACAGTCTCACTCCAGGTCTTCAGTCACTAGGGCACATCCAAAGTGCTTTACCTCAGAGCAGAGCACCTGCTGTCCCTCTGCCAACAGGTTCCTTTCCAGGGCACTGACATACCTTCAAGCTTTGATGGAAATGTTGGGGTCTGACGAGCATCCTCCTGTAACCACCATAGCTACTGGATTGTCTTCCGCCTTAATCAACTTAATAAAAATTTAACTATTTTATTTACATTTATTCCATTTTTATTATTATCGGTCTTTACCACTGAAAAACAAGTTGTCTAAGAACAGAAACATACCTGGTGTGCTCTCCATTGTCCCAAGAACCTGTCAAAGTCCCCTCATACACTAAGACACTATCAATAGTAATTGAAGGAATGAATGACAGCAACTATCACACCTAAGCATAAGTACTTTCTAATACTTCATTGTTAACCCATTTTCATGTGTGTATATGTGTGTGCCAGGAAAATAAAGCCCGGTTGTGACTTACCTTTATCTTCAGTACTTGGTTAACAGCTTATTTTATGGAGTTCATTCATTAACACTCTCTTATAACTTAATAAAGAAATAGTAAAATAATGTAAAAATGAAACTGAATTTCTGGTTAATTTTGAGAGGTGTCTCTGTTCCCTGCAGTTGTCCTGAATAGCATCTAATCTTAGTCTTAAGCATATCTGTTTACAATACTAAATTCTCATGTTCCTGGGGCTCAGTCTTTAAATATATGGAGGACTTAAAGGATCCTTCTTTCCTCTAGAACACTTTTGTGCAGACCTTCTCTATTCCCAGAGCCATGCAGGATCTCACACTACTCCCCTGTAGAACCAGAACTGTGCTATTTTCTACAGCAAGGAGAGCTCTCCCCACCCAACCAGAACTAAGCAAGACTCCTCACATGGGCACTGGGGCACTTATGCTCCACTTCTGACCTCACATGGGAGGAATCTCTCTCCTCAGCCTGTGACAGTGCCAAGGCAGCACACTGTTCAAGAAGTCACACCGGTCTTATTGGTTCCCAGAGGCTCAGTATCTGCCAGATCTGGCTCCCACCCTCTGATTCAGAACATAATAACCCTGAAAAGACAGTAGGTGTGCATGAGTGTTTGACCACTGGGCAAAGCTAGGGTGTGGGAAGGAGGGCAGAGGATGCAGTCTAGAAGCATGTGTGTGTTTGCAGGAGGGGCTGAGGATGCCCCAGACTTCTAATGCATACAGCTCCATATTCTGCCCTTGGATTTCTCTAGTTAGGTACCGGGAATTACATGTATAAGGCAAAGCCTCTCAGCACACTGTGTGTCTGACTTCATAAGTCTCTAATCCTTTGATAAATGCAAGAAACTGCCTATTCCTTTGCCAGTAAAATGAATGTGAGCTTTTGACCCATGGAGAGGCCTTGACCCAAATCTGCCTCAGCCCCTTTAGACCCCTGTCATTTCTCTTCTAGAGGCAGAAAATGCCTAATTTATCTTTCCTCCATGGCACCCTGTTTCAATTATTGGTATTTTGGGAAGTGGGAGGGTAGTCAAAAGGATAAATTATGGAAATCCATTACCCTCGGGGACAGTGGAGATGTTGGGAATAGCTCTTCATGAGTTGCTCATCCTGGGAAGATGGTGGCAGATGGTCCTATGAAGATGGTTTGGGCCTAAAGATCTCATGCTCTCATTTTGCATGGCCACTCAGCATCTGTCTGTCGTCTAGTGTGTGGAGAATCTCTGAGGATGCTGACCTCCTATCCTCTGGTCCTCAGGGTAACTGTTTCCCATGTCATCTCTCCATCTAAAACTGCCCTGACTGCCTTCTTACATATCTGGAGTCTTCTTATCTACCTCTCCTGCCTACCGAATCTGATAATTTTCATTTGTGCCCTTCTCATTCCCAGGAGAATGAGTCTAAGGAAAAGGTGAGACCAAGAATTGACACAAGGATGAATATTTCTTTCTGGACTTTTGGGTGCGCCTGCATGAATTGACCTGCTTTTCTCTGTATCACTTCATCTGGCTTCCCCAAATTGGCTTCATGAATTTCTCATTCTCAGTTTTGACCTCTGGTATTGGCCCTTTCTTTTGAATCAAGTTTGGATCCAGTTACTATGGAAAGACATTGCCAGTTCTGCTCTTTATGGCAAGAAGAACAAAGGTATGCCTATTGCTTTGATAGTGAAAGAAAGGAGATTTGGTGGAGTAAGAGACTGGTGCTTTGGACAGAAGGGAGAGTCACTGCCCTTTTCCTTCCATCTAAGAAGAATGGGATGAAGAATTGGCAAGAGACAATGGATGAAATTAAAAGAAGATGGAAGAAAGTGGGAGGATGAACATGACTACAACATATGAAGTTATGAAAGGATAAATTAATTTTTAAAAACTTGCCTTTGGATGGTTTAGAGTGTTGCAGCATCTCCATTATTGGGGTTCCTCTCTTTCTGGAAAGATAGGGACAGAAGTCTTAGATGAGGATGTAAGAACTGTCTAAAGTGTACAGTGAGTCTGTGATAGGGCTGGAACCCAGACACCTTGGCTGTGGTCTGAGGCATCTCTTCCCCCCCAGGCTCCTTGATAGAGTTTGACCATCATGACAGGTCTCACTATGTGCCTTCAGAGACATCCTCCGAGTCCCAAAGGTCAACCATTTCTCAGTAGTATGATAAATTCTAGATTTTCTGCAGAAAGTAATAGTTTGTCTGGCTCTTATTCAGCCAAAACACCCTTGGGATGTTGAGTTCTGGGATGACCCTTATTGGTCCTGAGGACAGAGAGTTGCATTATGACTCTGGTGCTTTATCGTAACCCAATCCTATCAGGAGAAAACACAGTCTCTGTGTTTTTAAAAGGAGGACCCAAGCACCTCTTTAAGTTCCTGTTAAGATTTTGTGAGATGATGCTTGGTGCCCAGAATACTGGCTGCTTTCTTGTCTTGAGTCGTTACAATTATGGGTTGATATTTGTGTAGTATGTTACTTGCCTAAGGGGAGAATTTTAAGGAAACAGGATTTTTAAAGATCATCAGAGTTGATTTTTTTCGTTTTTTCCCTTGAAAATTAAGAGGCTTTGGCCAAGCATAGAGTAGCATGCCTTTTTCGCAATTCCAGCAATTGACAGGTAGAGGCAAGAGGATCCGGAATCCTAGGACAGGCTCAGGCTGCATAATAAGTTTCAAGATGGTCTCACAAATAATGGGAAAACAAACCAAACCAAACAGCAACAATAAAACCTCATGAGGGTCTAAAGTAGAGTACTGTGTCAAAGCAATCAAGTCACTTGCCTTTTCATTTTCTGATTGATCTAATATGCCTGCTACTGGGTCTCAAGTGGCAATTAGCACATCATAGAATATCATGTCATGTTCTCTAAATAAGACCTTGTGTGCCCCCAGTGAGGTAATAAAGAAATTAAAGTGGATTTGTATTCCTATAGGGCATGGAGGGCCCTTGGAGCCTGTGTGGACAGAGGGGAAATCAGTGATTTGGAATTAAGATCTGATATGGAAAAACAATCCAGACAATGGAATTAGTAATGTGTGTGTAGTCCTAGTATACTGCATAGTCTAGTGAGAGAAGACTGGAAAGTGCTGTATCAATTAAAGAGAATGAGGGAGTGGGGATGATAGACGGATTAAGGTTTCAGGGTGTGTGTGTCCAGACAGGGCATCGGGCATAGGAGGTGTCCAGTGTGGTAGAGAACAGATAGGGAGTCACCATTGCCTGGAGTATAGACAGCAGATGAGGGGGACAGCAGTGGAACAAAAAAGAAGTCCGGTCACACAGTCTCCTCAGCCAGATGAGACTTCAAGTGTCAGACAAATAAACTGAAGCAGGCTGGGGCCCAGTTCTAGATCATCACTTCTTTTTTGCTAGGTAGGGTATGTGCAGGGGGCACCTGATGCTGCACCAGCTGCCTCCTGGCTGAGTAATTGCTCTTGAAATCACTTCTGAGTGCTGTAGGCGACACTCAGACCCGTGTTACATGCATGTGCATGTGTGGGGAGGAAGAAGTCTGAAAAAATGCTTGTTTCTGCAATAGAAGCTGACATGCTTGCTTCACTCCAGTCCTGGTGAGCCTCTGGTGAACATGACCCACTATGACCCTTTCCTGAACCCATCTGTTTGTTTTCTGTATTTGCTGATGACTTGT